CAACAGTGTGCCATTTAATGAACATTAATTACCAAGAGCTATTATTTTGGCAGTCAAAACCCCCCACTAATGCTCATTAAGAGCTTTTATCCCCCTGGGTAAACAATATAGCCCTCTTTAAGGAAATCCCAGCCTGGGTATCCAACGTAGATTATGTAGTTTATGCAGTGATTGCATTCTACTGGTGTTACGACATCCTCATAACTTTACATAAGTCAGTGAGGACAATCTGTTGCTTACGTTTTAGCAAGGGAAAAAGCAATGATGACATAATAAGTGAAACGATTTTTCCAAGTTCTTGTTTTAGAAATCACACTTATTTTCTGTTCATTAGCTGAATATAGAGCTGAGGTTCATCTGAGCAAAGGTGTTAAGAGCTTCTCATCCTTTGGACATCTCATACTGCCAATTTTCAATTAAATGAGAGACTACTTTTTTTTTTCTTTCAATCCTAGCAGCTGTAAAATTGCAGCAGGGGAACAAGGAACAATAAGCTCACCAGAACAGCAGTAATTGGAAGAAGGAAGATTTGAATGGTAGCACAGCTTCTGTTTTTCATTGTTGTGTGAATTTGAGATCCTGTTTCTCTTTCCTCTTTCTTCTACCTTATTATTCTAGTTGCTCCGTTCTTTGCTGGTTAACTACCCCTTCAGTTTTCATACAATTTCCACCATTCAAACTCTGCTAACGGTTGGTATATCTTTTGGTGCTCATAACTTTTATACTTTTTGAAATATGAAGGTTTTTATGCCATTTTTTGGCCCATTTTGATGAATGGAACCACATTACAAGTGTGTTTGCTGATTTAGCTCACAAGGGTGAGCTGTGTTTCAGCTCAGTGAGACGAGCAGCTGTTTTGTGACTCGGAGGACTGGGTTTGAATGTCAGCCATGGCTAAATTTCTTTTAAGCAAAATTTATTTTAAGTTCAACTTTTTCACCTCTTTTTAGCACAAATTTCAGCTTTTTAACTCTTTTCAGCACAAATTCCGCTTCTTCACCTCTTTTCAGCAGAAAGTTCTGCTTTTTTTTTTACCTGTTTTCAGCACAAATTCCGCTTCTACGCCTCTTTTCAGCAGAATTTTCATTTTTTTTCACCTCTTTTCAGCAGAAAGTTCAGCTTCTTCAGCTGTTTTTAGCAAATTCCACTACACAGAATTCACACTGCATTTTTGCAGGAAATGCAACTTTTTCTAGTTAAGATTGTTTCACAAGGTAAATATTGTTGCTAGACAATCTATTTATTGAAGTAATTTCCTTTTCATGGATGATCATTAGTTAGCGGCTTTGTTTTGCTTTTCATTAACATCATTTTTGGAAGGAAGTTGGCTCCAAATAAAGATAATTCAGAGAGAAATACATTTCAAAATGAGATTTTGCGCATGTGGGTTCAGAGATATGGTGTCAGAATGTACACTGATACAAGCTGTTTATTCACATCTAACCCGGTTTGCACATTTAGAAATCGCTAAAGCAAAATGGCTGGTTTTACAGAACACAGGCTTCAGGTTTAATTGCTCTGCAAGCTCACATGGCTCCTCAACCATGACTTTGGGCCCAAGTGAACACACACCCTAGGCTGACATAAGACCATGATCTGCCAAGGCTTACATAAAAGACCCACACCCTTCAGCAGATGACGTGACTCAAACTTCATCATCACAACTTGAGACTGAAAGAATGCTGGTCAATAGCCGAGGGTCATGAGTGGCAATATTCTGGCCATGTTTACATTGGCAAAGTTGTTTTCTGAGAAACAAAGTTTCAAAAATGTGTGTGCAGAGACATATCAGGGCTTATTTTCACTGAAGTCTGCTCTTTCACTTTAAAACATTAAGTCTTGACCCTTTCATCTTTTACTTGTTCTTGTTCAGAATGAATTAGTCTCATATTTTTACAGATCATCACAAAGTACTAACGGCTTTTTACTTCTACACATGTGCAAAAATGCACACAAGTAACTTAATAAGAAACTGGAATATTCCAACCATGAATGAAACTTTTTTCACTATGATATGTAGCAGCAATTGTTCTATCCTATTCTGCTCCGCCTGAGGCCCTGACTTAGCAACAGAAACAGTCATTGTAGATGACAAGCTGAAGTAAGTGAGACAAGATGTTTTTCCCCTTCTCCAGAGCAGATTTAAAGCTTGGGTTTTCCCCTGAAATCTTGAGAGAGAGAGAGAGGGAGAGAGACCGCTTATAACACACTCCAAAAGGCAATGAATGACATCATCTAAGATTTTAGTCCATGGCCATGTCAGCGCTGCATATTTGCACGCCTGCATAGATACTGAATTACAGCCATGGGAAGTGAGTGTATAAACTCAATCTGTTTGCAGTCAGGGTGAGAGACCTGTTTATACGTGACAAGGATGTTTGCTCTGATAAACCAAGTGAGTAATTCTGGGGTTAAAAGTGAAGGAAATTTGGTTCCAAAAAAACAGTTCTTTGAATGGCCACTTGAGACTGATTCTGCAAGTCAGTGACCAAGATGCCCAAGTTAATGTCCCAGCAGTAGAAATAAACATGTTTACACCCTGATACAACAAAAAAGCAGTCTTTATCTCAATAGCAAATCTCCACCTTATGAAAACTGTGCAGAGGGGACACTTTTTTTTATAGTTCTTTGCACGTTTGCAGCAACATGACATTACTGCTAAGCCAAAACTTTTTGTTAAACATCCTCTATAATATGCTGCTGACATGCCACAGGCACATAAAAAACACTCTGACCAGTTGAGGGACTCTATCTCTAAGGGTGCCTTGTTGTATATAACATCTGGTGCTGGTGTGTCCTTTATTATCCTTTGTTTCAGTAGCTAGTCATCACTCCTGACTGAAAGCAGCCCATTGGCATTTTGGAAATGCTCCAACCAAAGGCCGTTTCAAGTTGTTTGGTTATAGCAGTTTTGTCTTTATAAAAAGTCTTTACAGCTGTCCATTCCTCCCACGTACAACAAGCTGAAAGTGAGAACCAACACTTCATTTACCTTCTAATACTCTGAGACTTTGAGATAAACTATTATTACAACACCGGTCACAATGCCAACATACCAAATTGCGAAAGGTTTTGTATGATGTGGGACTTTCCAAGACTTTGCAAAAATGTGTATTCAAGGTTACCAGATATCAGAGAGTTCTGATACTACTGCAACCACAGAAGCTGGTATTGTCAAAAGAAATCAATGACAATTTGTCTCTTGTGACCTAGAGCTGGGACCCATGTAAACTAAATCAAAACAAGAAACAAAATAATCACACGCACACACAGAATGGCAGAGCTGCATGAAGACACAACAATCCATCACATATAATTAGGTGAGAAATGTTCAGTTTTTGTTTTTCTGAGCCGTCTGTGACCAGATTTGTGTAATCAAAGGACTGCTGTTGGATGTGGTGAGAAGCGTAGGACGGGTGAGCAGACAACACAACTGCAGAGTTCTTAAAGTAGAAATCAGAAGCTGTGTGCTTAAACCTAAAACAAAGGTGCAATGTTTATATCCTTTGTTTCTGAAATGCTAATTAAGACCACTGCTTAAACATTGATTTGCAAATAGAGCAAAAGGCGAGGCGATCATGGCTGAAATCATAATAAGAAGTGGGTGAAAACAAACTCAGTTAATTAAATTATACAAAATTCTTGACATAATAAAACTAGACTAGATTAGAACACAAATAACCAGGGTCACTGGAGCTCAGGTGCTTTAGCGCTTTAGTAATTACAGGTTTCATCCCTGGTCTGTTCACATGCCAATGTTCTTTGGCAAAATAGTGAGCCACAAGTTGTTCTTGAAGTCAAGTGAGTCCCTTTCATTGTAGGTCCATTACTGTATGAGTGCATATCATTCATTGCTTAACACAAATAAACATGGTTGGTTATTAGTTTACTTGTCAGACATTATTTCTCACGTTTTTAAATATTAGAAAGACTGAAGGAGTAGCATGTTGCCTGAACAGTAACGCCTCTTGAGGTGACTTTGTGACTTGTATACTAGGCTATATACATCGAAAAAAGTAATCTGCGTTGACGGGGTGTGCCCAGAGTAATTAGATTTCTATGTAAATTTAATTACCATCTGTTAGGCTGCTGATGCAGGCAATATGGCTCTTTACTACACTACAAACATGTTCTGCCATCCCATGATTGTTTCCCCTTTAAAAGTTAAGCTTCAGTTATTTTCCATCAATCTTGAAAACTCCTCTTAGTGTTCCCAAGGTCACTCCAAGCATTTACCGCCCCTGTGGCCTTAGCTCTGCAGAAGTCGTTACATTGGGCTGAACTAGAACTAGACCTGGTTTACAACAAGCGAGGAAGCTCTATCGTCCAAGCCATACATTACCCTGCAATTAACGTCAGGCCTCGGACTGATTTGGAGTGGACTGCCCAGTGTGTCCACACGCATCCGCATAATTGCACACTTGTGCACACAAAGGCACACACATTTACTATAAGGAACACAGATGAAAGAACTATTTTTGCTCAGTGATGAAATAATATGAAATGTGGTTACTTTTACACATGTAGTACATGTGCAGCTCTCTAAATACATTCCGCATAATATGTGTGTGTGTGTGTGTGTGTGTGTGTGTGTGTGTGTGTGTGTGTGTGTGTGTGTATTCTGAGACTATATTATGTGTGGTTTACTAGCTCCACGGAGATACACTGCAGGGTATAAAGTATAATGAGTATGTACAGCAGCTTCCACTTCTGAGCAAAGCCTTTGTGTCTGCTGCTACTCCACTGCTAACCATGCCTCTTTGCATTTGTGTGCAATCTCATGGTGGAGCACATCAAAGCAAATCCCCAGCAAGTTTGTAAGCTACTGTGACATAAACAAAATCTTGCTGATGGAGTAGAACGTTAGACACTTTTAGATAAAAAAATAAATGAACTTCACACAATATATAAAACTCTGTTTGGATAGAATAACTAACTAAGGATGAATGCCCGAAAATGCAAAATAACATACTTTAATAAATACTTATTACAGTACTCACTGCTAAGGACCAGAGTGCAGAGAAACAGAGATTGAGTCATCTTTCTGTAGAGTCCATTCATTCTCCACGTTGATGTAGCCATCCTCTTTGGTCTCAGTTGGTGCTGGGACTGTGTTAGAGCAAAAAGTTTCTACACACTGAAGGTTAGTGTGAGGGAGGGGAAGCAAAGGGTCGTCGATGAGGTCTGATAGAGGAGAAAGATAGAGCCTGGTTTGTGTTCTCTTTCTCTTTATATGGCCCGACTCTTTGGCCTCTCACTCTGTGCTTTTTCCACACCCCCTTTCTAACTGCCTCCTGCCCATTTCCCCAGAGCAACAGTCCCTCTTCCTCCCTTTACTGTGTTCCTGTGTGTGCTCGCATGATTAGCTGGCCAGAATGGGATAATGAGATGTTATTGGGAGATACTTGGCAGCAGACTAAGCTTTATGTGTTGTAGGTTTGTTTCCTGGTTTCCTGGTTCTTCTTTCACAAAAGTGTGCACATTTTATGCACTGTTTCGATTTTTCTGCAATTTGGTGGTTGTGCTTAGACTTAAGAAAGGCTTCAGGTGATACTCTAGCAGAAATATGAGCCATTTCTATTGACTGGTCTATGAAAAACAAGTGCAAAAGTACAGTAAAAAGATGTAGGCAAAAGTGCAAATGTGAACAGAGTTTTGAGAGAAGACAAAGAATTGTCTGCAACACATTTGACTTCAATTTGGCTAAAGATTTGCAGAAAGGCAAAAAAAAAGAAAGAAGAAGAAATGGAAAAGAAAAAAGGAGAAACAGAAGCACAATATGTTGCAGCTTTGCTTTTTCATAATTCATCCATTCATTTTCTTAACTTCACATCCAATTCAGGGCTGGAGCCTATCCTAGCTGTTGTGGGGTGGGGAGGTGGGGTCCAACCTGGACACCAGTCCATTACAGGAGTCTTCTTGCTGTGAAGTGCGCCACTTTGATGATGCACATGGTAAAGAGGAGGAAGTCTTCTCATATTCTACAAAGTGTGAACTTGCATTGCTAAAAAGGCCTGTGAAAACACATGACATCACACACAAGCTTGGCTGCAGTTTTTGTGTGTCCCTGGTGGACTAAATCACCAAAAGCCAAGAGTGAGTCATCTGAATGGCACAAAAACACATGCATGGTTTGATATACTGTACTCTGCATTTTTCAAATGTCGTAACACACACACACTGAGATTATAGACAAAACGTGTTTTTTCAAAGTCGCACCACATCAGCTAAACTGCTACACTTACATGTGGGTTGTTGTAGGAGTTTGATGAGTGGTACGCAGCATTCATGTTCACACAGCGATGTGTTGTTCCACATATCTGTGTCAGCCACATCTGGAATCACTGCAGTTCCACTGCTGGGTTTTTGAGGACTGCCAGGAGACATGCTTGTCAAACAATGCAACCATATGAAGATCAATGCAGTCAAGATCAGGCTGATGTCTGGGAATAGGCATCCCTGGTGGTGACCTTCCATGTTTTCATAACAGCTATTTTCTAAGAGGAACTTAAAAGTCAAAAGTAAATAAGAATGTTTAATCTGAATTTGTAAAGTTTTGAAGTCTGAATTTAGGACTTTAATTTCTGTTAATTGTTGCTCTGTCATAATCTTTGCAGTTATTTGCCATATCATGAACTTGTATGTATCCAAACATCTCACTGGAAAATAGTTCATTTTCTTAACTGACTCAAAACTGTGTTTTTAATCCATGTGTTGGGAAAGCCAGTTAACGGAATAATCTTAATTGAAAAATAATTTTGCATATTTTTGTTTGAAAATGATGTTGCATTATGATTTTATAAATTACATGTCTTTAGTTATTAAAAACAATTGAAACAAACATAATTAAAGCTGGTATGACAATAAACAACATAATAAAAAGCCTAGGTGTATTTTAAGGTCAAACAACTAATTTTCACTGAATTTTCTCTCATTATAATAATACATAAAAATAATTGTGAATGGCTCCGACAGAAACTGATAAAAACTGAAATCAGCATAAATAAGTAAATAAATGCAACCTGGTGGATCATGATGAGGTGAAATTTCCATTAAGAGCAGCAGACCAGTAACTTATGTCAAATCTGATCTGATTATCTGTGTTTGTGCTTTGCCCCACAGAACGTACAGCATGGGTCTGGCCTGTTTACGAATCCTGATATTTCTGTGAGATTTTCTCTCTTCTTCGCCCTTGCTAACTTACCATTTGACTTATTTTTCTTGAAATACACAAAGAATTCTCTGTGTAGTGAGGAAGGCTTTGCCAGGACATCACGAGGATCAGCACATGTTAGCAGAAAATCTGACCCTCAGGGCCCTTTTTTTCCTTCTTCTTTTTTAAAGGACATTTTGGAGTTGTTGGTTTTTTTTGGTGTTCTAGAAGAGCCGTCAGTATATATATATATATATATATATATATATATATATATATATATATATATATATATATATATATATATATATTTCTAAAATATTAGAATTCAGGAAAGACTTTAGGCCTTAGTGAATGTTATTTTCCCTTTTCAGTCTTTCTGCCCTGGGTCATATCCTTCTGTGTTATTCTGTTTCCTTCTTCTGTGCTGTGGAATATCATATGATGAATGCTGAACTTGGATTACTTAACTTTTCTTATGGGCAAAAGTAAATTTCAGAGTGTTTTTTATTTTAAAAATGGCCTTTAATTATATAATTTCATTCAGCTTTAAGTGTAATACCTGTTTACATTTAGTTAATTTTTCAATTTGTCGGTTCTTTTGAATAGCTAAAAAACAGTAACTTTTATGTCTCTTCTTTAACTAACACTGATATAGAGCACAATGTCCAACATTTTACACACCATGTGAAATTTGAAAGATCCCATCTAACAGTAGTGGAAACAATTCAGATTTTTTTGTTTCTCTCTGTAAAGCACTTTGTGTAGAAATATATAAAAAAATAAAAGTGAATAGATTAATGAAACAGTGACATTTGAACAGCTCAGTTGAAGTATTATGGGACAACATAAGATGGGATCTGAAGTAAAGACGCATCCCTGCTTTTCTTTTCATTTGTTGAACTGGGGTGTTGTTTAGGAGCTTACAGTAAGCACAGAGAGACTCTATTGGAGAGGTTTCCTAGGCATAGAAGTCAGTGATGATTTTACCTAAAGTGTTTAAGGAAACAACAAAAGTCCTACTCTCTGTTTCCTGCCAGTATAGTTACCCTTCAGCCCCAGTTTAGTCTCCATCCATCATTTCTCCTGAACTGAAATTCCTTTTCTGTTTCCTGCCATTCTCCTTGCACATGGTATGTGCTAACAATAAAGCATACAACTTGTCAGACAGACCCAGTGATGACCTCAAGCCCACGACAGACAAACGGAACAGATCTTTCCAAGTTTTTCTGCAGGGAGGAAGACAGCAGAGGCAGGAATAAAGTACAGTTTACACCAGCCAGACTTCTGACTGAATATTCTTGAATGACGGTAGAGTAAATTTAATATTTTTGCTACCAATAATTAAACCAAAATACAGAATCAGTGTAAGAAAAACTAACTGCACCCCGACTGCTTTCATCGGAAGAGGAAAAGTAGCAGCCAGGTGCTGATAATCAAATACACTGAACTGACTGATCATCAGCAAGTGTGGCCACTTGTATGGAAAGTGTGGCTTGTTTGAAAAGGTTGCCAGGAGAAAACCCCTTCCATCTAGAATGGCAGCACAGTTTAGCTCTACATAATTGCATCTGAACAAGCCACAAGACTTCTGGAACAATGTCCTCTGAACAGAAAACCACAGTGGAGATGACTGGCCATGATACACAGCGGCACGTTTGGAAACACAAACACAGCACATCAGCACAAATAGCTAAAAGCAACATGGTAGTGGAGCGATGATGATCGGGGCTTGTTTTGCAGCCACAGGACGCGGGCACCTGGTAACCTTGCAGTGACTGAGTTAACCATAAACTCCTTTCTATACCAAATTATTCTAGTTTTTAGACAAGTGTCCAACAGTTTAAGCTTTATGTAACAGTAGAATAAACACCAGCAAATTCATAACAGAATGGGTTAAAAAATAAAAGAATGAAGGTATTTCAACGACTCAGAGTCCAGAAGTCAACCTGATCGAAATGCTGTGGCAAGAACTTGAGAAAACTGCGTGTTATCATTACGAACTAGCTGCAAACTTCAATGAAGCAATGCTCTAAACAGCGATGAGAGAGACTGACAGCCATACAGAAAACCATTACCTCAGAATACTTGAAGTTATGAAGGCTGAAACTATTTAACTATTCACCCACACTTCAAAAAACTACTGAAACATGGGTCTACTTGGCTTTTCACACAATAGATAATGTTAAATAAATAATGGCAAAGTGTAATATGTCTAATTTAACCTCCTAGGACCTGGCGTCCACATATGTGGACATCACATTTTGGGTTATTAGACCAAAATACTCAGTTTTGCTCTACAAGGCCTGATATCCACTTACGAGGACATTATACTGCTACTGTTCTATCAAATTTTAAACGAATATCCTCAAATGTGGCTCTTATTTTTCTTAAAAACAAAAATATGTTTTAAAAAAAAAATCTGGTAATTCTTTGTTTTTACAGGCAAATGTGGACGTCACTGAGTTTATCATTGATACAGTCTGTGGATGCGCCCTCATGAGTAAAACAGATTGCAAGTTGCGACAGCGATACAAACAATAAACAGATGTAACAGGTTCTGGGAACCCCCCAAAATATTTCTGCATAAATATATTTCCCATACAACATACTGCTTAATATCTCCTTTGGGAAAAGTAAAGAAAATATCTGATAGTCAGTCTTGATAATAGAGTTGGAAAAAATGTTCCTCTCTTAGTCACTCATTTAGTTCTGATATGCATGACCCTCTTTATAGAAGAGGCCCGTACTTTGTGCTTTCCAAAACACAGTTTTGTTTTTTTGTCTGAATGCAGTGCCAAAATCCTTTCCTTCTTTCTCCTCCCACCTTTAACTTTCGCTCATTCTCTCCATTGCCTTGATCTCATACAGATGTTTTTTAGCACTCCCCTTTGGAAGAAGTCTTCTCCTATTGTTCCATACAAGTCCATGGTCCTGCCGACCCCGCCAATGCCTAAAGCACACATGTACCGAGTGCAAGTGTTTCTGGAGCATTCGAAGTCTTGAATACAATATTCCGAACTGGAAAGTTAGTCAACACAGCATATTTTTTATTCCTTTTTCCTTGCACTTT